ATAGGTGTTTCCGTTGCAAGTGATAAAAAACATTACACGATTATGTGAAAATTCGCAATGAAGTTGTATTAGTAGTTGGAAAAAAACAAAAGATAGTGTAGAAAATAACGATCACGATAGAAAAAGTCCGAAATCAATTAAATCGTTCGAGTTTAAAGTTGGAATAGATCAAACTTGAGTTTAGAAATAGAAATAGACAGAAATTCTCCATGAAAAATAGAATTTGTCCAAAATTGTGGCCTGTTGTTCAATTCTTTTTTGAAAGGTGGAAAGTTCGTTAAAACTTAGGCTCGTATAGAGAAAAGTTCATTGAACTTATTTTGAACATTTTCAGGTGACATAGATAGAAAATAACGCCAGAAGTAATTTTTGAAAAAATATGTAATGTTTTTATCACTTGCAATGGAGACACTTATACTCTTCATTGTTCTTTCGGAGATAAACAGCATATAGATCAAAATACATGTATACGTAGTATTTTTTGTGGGCTATCCAACCGTATGAGAAGCAGAAGAAATAAATCAATTCCAAGAACATAGTATAAAAACTTATCAGTGCAAGTTTTTTTGACTACAGCTGTAGGTACATTGATGATATCTTCTTTACTTCGAATGAATCAGTAGATAAAATTAATGAAACGTTGGACAGAGCCAATAGGTTTCATACAAATATTCGACTAGTGCGCGAAATCGGATGCAGTGTATCATTTGTGGACGTGTACGTTCAAAACAAAAATGGAATCTTGGCAACATTGGTTTACCATAAACAAACAGCTCAACTATATGTCGTGCCATTTAAATCGGATCATCCTAAGCATATATTCAAGAATATCATCAGCACTTCTGGGGATGTAACAATACCGATACTTCCAATACCAATAGTATTGGTATTGGATTAGTATTGGTATTGGTGGTATTGGTATTGATCGGTATTGGTATTGGTGGTATTGGTATTGGTCGGTATTGGTATTGGTATTGGTATTGGTATTGGTATTGGTATTGGTATTGGTCGGTATTGGTGGTATTGGTATTGGTAATCATAAATAAAGTTCATAGAAAAACTAGGAAGTAGTAATAATAGTTCTATTTTTGAGAGATGGTTTGTCATATATGTCGAATCTGGTACAAGTTGAAAGGGTTTGAAAAATCTATATTTTTCAACTTCTCATTGTGTCCGTCAAATGAAATAAATGAGGTATATACCTAAATGTTTCAATGTTAAGGATCTCACTACGTGCAATAGACTCTGATTATCTGAGTTTGATAATCACATGGAATAGAAAATATGAGTCAATTAGTATGTTAATGTTTTGGACCAGCTAAAGTCCGCTGATATTAATCGCAACATCATATGCTGATTATTAAAAATATTCACGATAGTCTGAATCCATTAGAGAAGCTACTCTTCCATGCGGGAAGTGATTCAGTTATGATGTTCATTTTGAAGTGAAGGTTTTATCAACATTGCATTAGAGTTTAATGGAGAGTAATAGTCTAGTTTTGATCAATTCCAATCAATAATACATCAAAATCTCATACAGGAATGCATTTTAATTCTTGAGTATCATCAAAATCTGTATAGCTTTGAATAGATGTTTCATGTTCACTATGCTGCTACTGCGTGCTACTCATACTTAGATGTCTTTTCAATACCTATCATTGCTAACAATCAATATCGAAGTACCCGTTTAATAATGTTTGTACCAAATGAATTAATTATTTATTTTCAACTTAGGCTACAAATGGATCTTTGTTTTGTTATGTGTCGCAACGAAAAGATACATTTTCAATTTACAAAACTAATATGAGCAAAGACAAAATCAAAACAAGTTAATATACATGGACGGTTAATAAAAATTCTAAATCATACAATAGCAATTACAAAAATATATTCATTTGGAAAACTACTTGCTGCATATAACAATTATTTCAATACTCTGATGCCAATTTATCTTTCAGAAACATAGTATAACTTAAACTCTCTGGACTTAAGCGAGCTCTTTCCTTTCGTTGATAAATAAGCCCTAGCAAGTTGTGCTAGAATCGGGAAATTTGAGTAATTTTGCTTCCAGAATTCGAGAGCAAAAGCTTGAGTTTTATGTTCACGAAAAAAGCTACTAACAACTTCTTTATAAACGCATAATTCATCGTCAATAGTTAATTTTCTAGTTTGACTTTTCTGTAAATTACTAATAGGTGATTCACCACAAGCTAACAAAAATTGATCAATTGTTGATAAGGACTGTTTGTGATCTGATGCTGATGTTTGTGATGCACTAGCTGTCACTATTGGTTGTAATGTTGATGGAATAGATTCGGACGATGAAGTTGAAAATGGATCATTCAAATGGATACTTTCATTTCGAACCACTTGTTTGATTTCTTGTTCAATAATACGAACATCATCTTCTCCAAGAACAGAAAATCCAAGCGGGTCGAAGAAAGAATATTTCTAAAATACAGATAACTTTGGTTAGAAAGCTTTTGACACGTGAACAATCTTTATTTATCATATAATACAGCAATCTAGATTGATAAAGATGTTTTCAATTAGAGGTGTACTGCTCACGCTCATGAGAGGGAGCTATACATCCGTAGTTTCAATTAATCTGCATCAATTCAAGTAGTTGACCCAACGATTAGTCAGGATTCCTATTCTACAAAGCACATGATTTTATTTTGATATTTACCTTCAATAATTTCAACTGATTGTCATCGGAGAAAAAGTAACATTCGAATTTCGATAATAACATAAGTTTTAATGTTTTTTTCAAGGTACTAACAGTAGATTCATCTTTCACCAAATAATTAAGAATCAATTTTATTGTGTAATAACATAAACCAGCTGTTGGATATGATCTTTTCGACATCAGTCTTGCTNAAACCAGCTGTTGGATATGATCTTTTCGACATCAGTCTTGTTGCCAAGTAAAACGGTTTCAATACAGTGTGGATATCATTCAAAAGTAACCAATCGTCGTGATGCAATTCGATTGCAATCAATCGTGCAATTAATTCCCGTCGTACATCGAATGTATTTTTATCACCGAAAAATTTCACTATTAACTTTTTAGCAATGATAAAAGAATCAATAAGGAAGAACGTGCTATTCCATCTAGTAATACAATCGACGGGGAGTCCACGTTTTATTTTAAACTCACGACGTCACTAATCAAAATATCCATTTCATATTGTCGATTGCTTGAGAAGAGTAATTAAGGAACGGCATTTGCTGACCACCATATAAACAGCTTGTTTGTTCAAATCATTAATCGTCTCACGATCAGATATATCAAATTCCATATCCCAGTCGTCACGAATCAAATTATTGTTTATCATATAATCGATGAAAGTCTCATCGTCAATAGTGTCTTGAATATCATTCGTATCTATAATTCCATCAACACTGTTAGAATGTATTTGTTGATCATTCGATTTCTGTTGAGGATTCAATTGTTGATTAACGGCGCCGAAAATGATTTCTTCTATGCTGATAAGATCGTCATCAAAATCATTGAAGTTCACAATTTCGTTTTCTTTCAGATCATTTGTCGGAAGAAAATATTGTAATACATTTGCTCGATCTACATAAAACATCTTCAATGAATGAAACAATATCTTTCATTTAATTTCTCTAATAAACAAGTCTTGAGTGGACATGTTCATCCTAATAGATGCCTAGATAGTTCTCTTTATTCATCAATACGAATCCAGCTTATTTATTTCATGTAACTAACCAAACACTTTCCTTCTTGTCGGAACGTCAGGAAAAACGTGTTTTACCTTCTGTCGCATCGTCCCAAAAACGTGGATTACTGTCATTGTCGTTACAACCATTAATTCCACTTGCATCATCGATATCATCATTGTAATGTTTTTCTTCAGTATTATTATCGGCGTTTTCATTATTATTATCGTCGTCATGATTATGATTCTCTTTGTTGGTGTTGTGGTTTTCTTTCTTCTTCTTCTTCTTCTTCTTGTCACCCCAAAATCCTAATGCATTGACGATGACCAAATGATAACGATGCGCCACACACCATATCCAATTGTAATTAATATCGCTCAAACTCTCACACATCGTTCGCATATTAGCTGCACCATCTGTTGTGATACATAATAATTTATTGTACAAATTTAAATGAAACAATTTGTCTCGAATGACATTGGCGATACGAACACCATAGTGACGATCATAAAACGTTTCAAATGATAATACCAATGATTCNTTGTGCTAGAATCGGGAAATTTGAGTAATTTTTCTTCCAGAATTCGAGAGCAAAAGCTTGAGTTTTATGTTCACGAAAAAAGCTACTAACAACTTCTTTATAAACGCATAATTCATCGTCAATAGTTAATTTTCTAGTTTCACTTTTCTGTAAATTACTAATAGGTGATTCACCACAAGCTAACAAAAATTGATCAATTGTTGATAAGGACTGTTTGTGATATGATGCTGACGTTTGTGATGCATTAGCTGTCACTATTGGTTGTAATGTTGATGGAATAGATTCGGACGATGAAGTTGAAAATGGATCATTCAAATGGATACTTTCGTTTCGAATCACTTGTTTGATTTCTTGTTCAATAATACGAATATCATTTTCTCCAAGAACAGAAAATCCAAGCGGGTCGAAGAAAGAATATTTCTAAGATACAAATAATTTTGGTTAGAAAGCTTTTGACATGTGAACAATCTTTATTTATCATACAATAGAGCAATCTAGATTGATAAAGATAGTTTCAATTAGAGGTGTACTGCTCACGCTCATGAGAGGGAGTTATATATCCGTAGTTTCAATTAATCTGCATCAATTCAAGTAGTTGACCCAACGAATAGTCAGGATTCCTATTCTACAAAGTACATGATTTTGTTTTGATATTTACCTTCAATAATTTCAACTGATTGTCATCGGAGAAAAAGTAACATTCGAATTTCGATAATAACATAAGTTTTAATGTTTTTTTTAAGGTACTAACAGTAGATTCATCTTTCACCAAATAATTAAAAATCAATTTTATTGTGTAATAACATAAACCAGCTGTTGGATATGATCTTTTCGACATCAGTCTTGTTGCCAAGTAAAACGGTTTCAATACAGTGTGGATATCATTCAAAAGTAACCAATCGTCGTGATGCAATTCGATTGCAATCAATCGTGCAATTAATTCCCGTCGTACATCGAATGTATTTTTATCACCGAAAAATTTGACTATTAACTTTTTAGCAATGATAAAAGAATCAATAAGGAAGAACGTGCTATTCCATCTAGTAATACAATCGACGGGGAGTCCACGTTTTATATTAAACTCACGACGTAATTGATCAAAATATCCATTTAATATTGTCGACTGCTTGAGAAGAGTAATTAATGAACGGCATTTGCTAACCACTACATAAACAGCTTGTTTGTTCAAATCATTAATCGTCTCACGATCAGATATATCAAATTCCATATCCCAATCGTCACGAATCAAATTATTGTTTATCATATAATCGATGAAAGTCTCATCGTCAATAGTGTCTTGAATATCATTCGTATCTATAATTCCATCACCACCATTAGAATTTATTTGTTGATCATTCGATTTCTGTTGAGGATTCAATTGTTGATTAACGGCGCCGAAAATGACTTCTTCTATGCTGATAAGATCGTCATCAAAATCATTGAAGTTCACAATTTCGTTTTCTTTCGGATCATTTGTAGGAAGAAAATACTGTAATACATTTGCTCGATCTACATAAAACATCTTCAATGAATGAAACAATATCTTTCATTTAATTTCTCTAATAAACAAGTCTTGAGTGGACATATTCATCCCAATAGATGCCTAGATAGTTCTCTTTATTCATCAATACGAATGCAGCTTATTTATTTCATACAACTAACCAAAAACTTTCCTTCTTGTCAGAACGTCAGGAAAAACGTTTTTTACCTTCTGTTGCATCGTCCCAAAAACGTGGATTACTGTCATTGTCGTTACAACCATTAATTCCACTTGCGTCATCGATATCATCATTGTAATGTTTTTCTTCAGTATTATTATCGGCGTTTTCATTATTACTATCGTTGTCATGATTATGATTCTCTTTGTTGGTGTTGTGGTTTTCTTTCTTCTTCTTCTTCTTCTTCTTCTTCTTGTCACCCCAAAATCCTAATGCATTGACGATGACCAAATGATAACGATGCGCCACGCACCATATCCAATTGTAATTAATATCGCTCAAATTTTCACACATCGTTCGCATATTAGCTGCACCATCTGTTGTGATACATAATAATTTATTGTACAAATTTAAATGAAACAATTTTTCTCGAATGACATTGGCGATACGAACACCATAGTGACGATCATAAAACGTTTCAAATGATAATACCAATGATTCGTAATCAAATTCATAAGTAACATAATGTCCAGTGATACATAAGAACGATTTTGACGATCTATCAGACCAAAAATCACAAGTTATTGAGATTTTACTAAGTTCCAACATTTGTTGTTGCACACGTTGCTTGTAATCCGTATATAAAGACTTTAAACGTCGAGCAACAGTTGTTCGATGTGGCGGCACATAACCTAAACATAAAAAAGATCAATGTTCAAGACTAGAACTCATCAAGGTGCAAATACAAGACATTATACCAAAATGGAAACGAAATTCAATCTGACGAAATATAAAATATCGTACAATCAATACTTCCATCATAATGCGAAGAGAAAGTAACCGAAATTATAAGAACAAAAAAGCCAATAAAAAGCGAAAACTTATAGCTGTCTTCGAACTTCTATGCCTATGTAGGATTAGTAGGTAAGGTCGTTCACTCCATGTTCCATGCTCATATTAATGAAGGTATTTTTATTGCGACAGCTTTTCAATGAATTTTACTATGTAGATCCTCAATGTTCAGCATGTTTTATCGACATACCTTCTGAAAGCTACATGGGTATGCATAACATGCGATTTGCAAGTAGACGCCTCAACTTTCAACGTGTACTTTTGAATAAAACTTGATCTGCACTACCTACAGTGAAATACTAACCAGGTATGGCTTTTCTTAAAACCTTCAGCATTCCAGGACGTCGGAAATCATTGAACGATCTTGAATCCTCAATAATTGCTTTTATAATTAATTCATGCAATTCCTTTCGTAGGTCCGATGACACGGTCGCCTTTTTTTGGACCGCCGACGGAGCCACCGTCGTCAGTTTGTGTACTTGAGTGAGATGTTTACGAACGCCAGTTGTTGACCAGTTGGTTGTTTTTATAATAGTACCACAAATCCCACACGTTGCTGTTTCGTTTTTCTCATCCTGCGAAGCATATTGCCATACAGGAGATTTCTTTCTTGAACTAATATCTGATGCTTCATCATCATCTGTATTTTTTGCAAGCTCAACGGCGTCAGAATGTGAGGAAGCATTCACTAATGATGATGAACGATTATCTAAAGGTAAAGGTAAATTAACGAGTAACTGAATGGGGAAAACGCTTACTCGGTGAAGATGTTGAACGATCGATTGACGATGACGATGACGATAAAGGATTGGTTGATTGAGATAACGGATGAGAAGCTGTACGTGCTGGTGATGAACGACTATCTAAAGGTAAAGGTACGGTACATTAACGAATAACTGAATGGGGAAAACGCTTACTCGGTGAAGATGTTGAACGATCAATTGACGATGATGATAAAGGATTGGTTGATTGAGTTAATGAATAGATAACCGTAGATGATACTCGTGAACTATTGTTTGGTGGAGGTGATGAAAACGTCGGAAGTTCACCGGCTGTTAAGTTTTGTATCGATGCATCGGTTGTATGAGATGATGATTGGTTTATGGTAGAAGATGGAGTGTCTGTATATTCAACAATGATTTGACCGGTAGCATCCGCATTTTCATTGGGGTATATGAGTGAAGTATCGTGTTTTAGACGCTTTGCTCGGTTGAATTTGCTGTTTGTTTTTGTTGATGGCATTGGCATTTTTGTTGAGAACTGAAAAGAACGGAACGCAATAAATTTCGAAGATTTAACATGATGAATTAGTGGTGACTATAATAAATTGTTCAAAAGAAGGTCCATCAATCTCATCGGTTGAGAGATCTTCTATTAAACTGAATAAAACAAATTCATGCGAAAGGTTGTTTTGAAAATTCGTGCAATTTCTTCCGTTAAAATTCGCGAAAGAAATATAAGCCAATGAATTTAAATGATAATTCAACACTGGATGTCGCCACAATATAATGTCTTAGCTAAGCAGAATTCGATATAGGCGCTACCGTTTATGCTGATCAGTCTGAATTTAGAGCTAGCAGTGATAGACAGTTAGTTCTACACATGGTAATTTGATATTTCCATTGCACTTTAAATACAAGAGTAAAAACAAAAATTGAATCTTCCTATGCGAGAAATTCGCGCTTTAAACAGAAAATGCGTCATTCTAGAATCTAGATGTATGCAAATATGAATATTGTCTTTGTTGCTATTTCTTTTCTCTTTTAATTAATCAATATGACTTTTACGAAATCTTGTACTTTAATGCATTTGACATATATACCTTTTATCGGGATGAGCTACAGTTTCTGCGTGATGATGCTGATGGTATGAAGAGCTGCAATATGTAGAGTAATCAGTCAGCATGAAATTCGCAACAGTTCAACAGAATATAATTTTTAAAAATTGATATTTATCATTTTTACTGTTTATGTTGCGCTTTCTGTTTCTGAAGGACATAAAAATCTGTGCTGCTGCTAAGACTTCTTATTTGGGTAGCTACTACCAATACCAATATCAATACCGACCAATACCAATACCGGCCAATACCAATATTAATACCAATACCGATACCAATACCAATACCGATACCAATACCAATACCAATACCGACCAATACCAATACCAATACCGACCAATACCAATACCAATACCAATACCAATACCAATACCAATACCAATACCAATACCAATACCAATACCAATACCAATACCAATACCAATACCAATACCGACCAATACCAATACCACCAATACCAATACCACCAATACCAATACCAACCAATACCAATACCAACCAATACTACCCAGTACCAATACCAATACTCCAATACCGTATTGGTATTGTGACATCCCTAAGCACTTCTCTTTTGCGAGCTGTTCGCTATTCTTCCACATTACAAGCGTTTGAAAGTGAACGACGATCTATCAAATTAATGCTATTATACAACGGGTAAAACACACGTCTTTCGTTTACAAATGAATATTTCTTTTCTTTTTGACTTTAGATAACCTCCTCGATTCATTCATACACAATTTAATGTCTTTTTCGACAAAAACAATCGCCGCCCACACTATCTTAGTGCGAAACAAAATGAAGACGATTTCCAGCTATTACGCCATGAACTATTAAACAGGTCCACTATTCAGGCACTTACAGTACAGAGCCGAATCCTCAAGGCGTCATCTTCAACCAACGGCGACTCGGCCAGTGTCACATCAATACCAAACCAGAGCAAACCATCAACAAAATGGAATGCAAACTTGATTGTGCATTATACATCCGAGAATCGATTGATCGATTACAAAAAAGTTTTTCATAAACTTTGGAAGCAACAGTTCTCCAATACTCCAGTCATCAACACACGGCTGATAATCGGAAACAAAAACCATCCCAATCTGGTCAAACGACTTGTACATCGCCAAACCAAGCGTGGACTCAAACAGCATCTACCTAACCAATTAAACAAACAATGCCTTATTTACATCTCATTCTACTGTATATTTGCCTCTATTTCTCGTAACAAGCATTTCATCCTCAGCTTCTATCACTAACAAATTAAATAAAATCATAAAATTTTCTCACACTAACTCCTTTCTTCTCCTTCCAAATAGCTATAAAACAACTTTTCTCGAGTTTCTCAGCAAGGTGACCATTGAGACAAATATCAACGACTAAATTTAACCATACCGAAAAATATTAACACGATATAACATTAACCACGAATTTTCTTCTCACACTATAATTCGACTGAGTAACCTACACAAACTGCACAGAAACAAACAAAACAAAATTCTCCGAAAACCAAACACACAAGTTTCATTCCAACACTACGTCGACATCTACGACCCAAGAGAAACATACCTTTATAGATGTCACCACCATCCGATGAAACAACCTATTCACAGACTTCTTTCTCAGTCCATCAATTCAATATATCAGAAAAATCAAACCATTAATCTCTGTATCATTCATCGATTTCTAGGTGACTACAATAGTAGACGGCGATAATGGCGTGCTTTGACTCACCACTACAATAATGATATCTACTATAACAACTACGTTCTCTTCGGAAAACTAATCGTCGGACTATGTAGATTACGTGGATTCATCTGTGGTTTGACCTAACAGTCGCGTCATTAGGATAATCTACAAAGTCTAAGGCCATCTGATGATCCCCTTAGCCGGGATAAAATCGCGATAACGGCGTGCTTTGACTCACAACCTGAAACTGCACAACCTTATACATAAGAAAGATATGAACCAGTGCTATCTTGAGTAAAGAAAGCATTCGCTAACTTACTTTTAATATGATTGAGAAAATAAAATAATTATTCCATGCTTTTTGGAACAAACTTGTGTTCCTTTCCCCAAAAGAAGTCAAGAGATCAAAAATAATAGGAGATTAAAAAAAAATTACCGATATTATGTGTCACCCGTGATAACTTTTCTATAGTCAAAACAGATCAAGAGAGATAAGCCACATAGAGCAGCGTATTATTTCTCTCTGTCTCTATCTCTCTTAAGGTACAATTTTGCTGTCAGGTGACTTATCACCAAAGTGTGAACATGGCTCATTACTAGCAATACCTCTAAAAACTTTTCCCCCTACACTGTATATTGTATTTCACACTAACCTCGTGATGGCAGTTCAAATTTATGATTTTTCTGCTTATTTTAGAATGGGAACGAAGCCATTCGAAGATCCTAGTTGCTTAGGTAAAATGCTGACATTATGATAGGTCCACTCATCCCACTATTGGATGAGTCTCTCTTTATATGCTTTAATGGAGACATATTTTAGTGCCATTGATATTGCTGTATTATGCAATTTTTTAGTATTTTAGCAATCTTCAGATTTTTAATAAGTATTGCATAGTACGAGACTGATATTTGTTTATTATCCTTCAATAATCACTAGCACTTGATAAAATTCAATAAGCGAAATACAAAACGCGTTTTTGCTAGTTTTTCACAACTTCTTGCTTATAATCTCATCAGCCATTTTTAGTAGCGGCGGCGTCGCTCTTCTGCTAGGCGCTCGTCTGCCCGCTGCTGAGCCAGTCGGTTCTGACGCATTGCCTCCTCTTGACGTTGCTGAGCCAATGCATTTTGCCGTATTATTTCCTCTCGACGATATTGCGCCAACTGATTTTCACGTCTTATTTCTTCATCGCGCTGTTGAGCTAATCGGTTCTGACGCATTGCCTCCTCTTGACGTTGCTGAGCTTGTTGTTCTTGGCGTCTCGCGTCTTCTCGACGTCGCTGAGCCTGTTGCTCTTGGCGTTTGATTTCGTCTTGACGTTGCTGAGCTTGTTGTTCTTGGCGTCTGGCGTCTTCTCGACGTTGCTGAGCCTGTTGCTCTTGGCGTTTGATCTCGTCTCGACGTTTGACTTCCATTGCTATTTCGTTGTTGAGCACCTAAAGTAATGTAATTACTACAAAAGATGTAAAATGCTTTTATGCTCTCTGGTGGAAAAGTTTGCGAAAAATATGTAGTCAGCAAAATGGGTTTTTAGTGAAAAGTACGGATGTTTATATTGTTTATACTGCTATTCAGTTTATTTTTGTGTCGAAATTGCAACGGAAGTACTATGTTGGAAATAATATTTTTCCAGGAGGGGAACTCTATGATTCGAAGTTGGATATGTGCTGAATTTTATACCGAATGAAAGCCCGTGAAAAATAGGATTTAGCGATGGTAAATAGTATGACTTTGAAGAGCTTTTATATATCAAACTCTCGAAGGCATATAATTCTGTAGCAGGATGTATCGAATCAATAGTCAAAGATGAAACGAAAACGAAAATGCTATCAGAAACCTATTATTGGAAACTCTTCTATGTTCGTATCTATGTCGACTTGGCGCAGTAAAAATGCGAACGGTTGGCACACAGATTATTGATTGCATTTGTTAAGGAACGAAAAACAAACTATTTTGTAACACCTTCAGCTCTAGCATTATCCGATGATTTAGTTTTCTCCTGTCTTATGTAGGTGAAAAGTTGTAACTTTCGAGAGTCTGATATATGAAAGCTCTTCAAAGTCATATTATTTACCATCGCTAAATCCTATTTTTCACGTGCTTTCGTTTGGTATAAAATTCATCATACCTCCAGCTTCGAATCATAGAGTTCCCCTCCTGGAAAAATATTATTTCTAACCGTGTAGTTGCAAACTATAAAGAGATTGATAATCTAATAGCTAACACTGTATCGGCTGCAGTATTAGAGACTGTTACGTCTCAATCTTATGAATAGGGTAGCTACTTCACTAGTTTTATCTGCATAACTGATTTTCTCTATCTTATTTTGGTAAGTTTAGTGGTGGCGGTTATTTTATTTTTCTTCAATACTTGGGAAGCGCAAAAAGGATAAAATTTGATCTTTTCAAGCATGGACACAAAAGCTCATCCTGTATTTAGTGTTTGGAAAACATGATCCGTGAATGAAACATGAGGGTTTTCTTCGAAGATTAGTGTGTGAATAATGGGTATGTTTCCAACATAATACTAATATATTCAAACGTTTGTCGGGCTCCTACTTGTTTTAATCTGTCAGCTTCGTTGATATTTGTTTGACGTGTGTTGAGTCTCTGCAGATATGTGATGTTATTGTGAACCAAAGAATATATATGTATATATTTACTACTCCGTGATGCGTGACGTTCGTGACTCAATATAACGAGCAAGAATGCAAGTATACATTGTAAATTACCAACTTTTGTCATTACTTCCTTTGCGTCAATCAATGAGAAATAGATTAATCTTTCCTTTACCGAAAAGACAAATCAATCTGCTAAATCTCAACTCCTGCTTTTCCCCAGTTCGACCAATCCCATGCTCGGATCTGATCGGATCCCATCCTGGATCCTATCGGATCCGAAAGACAGATTTCACGGGTTCCTAGGATCATCATATAATATAGCTAAAAAGAACCTCCATAAAATTTGCAACAATCGACGGGATTTTTACCGACGGACTCCAATGCAATTCCGTCACCGAGAATCCTATAGGATTTCGTAGGAACGTCGGGTCTTATAGGAACTTATCGGAACCGTTATCGGATTTGTCGACCTGGGTTCGACAACCGATTCTTGAGGATGACGGTGAGGGTGTGGATTCTCTTATCATTTGCATACACCCTCAAAATGTCAGAAAAGCTGCAATCTATATGGTTATTTTTATCGTTGAAAATTTGCTCAAAATCAACAAAAAATTCATAAAGACATTCACTGATAAGGGTGTGAATGAAAGTATATAAAATAATATTCACATCCACACTCTTTTGTTTCTTAAAGAAATATTGACTCTCTGCTTGATTTAATCGTAGAATGACTATATTCAACAATACAGATCAACAACATATGTATCTGAATTTACTCGAGCGGCATCATTAAAAATATTATGATGGATCATTTATCATAATAAACAGAGAAAAGAAACATCGCAATAAGTGCCTCGAATACTATACTATCTACTAAGTAATAAGATGGGAAAAAGTTATACCGATGAGGAAAAACACCTAACGGTTACAAATCTGATTCTCAAAGGTATAGGTGTCAGTATGAAGTCACATGTTTCCTAACAGTCTCTGTATTGACCTACAATACAGTATTTTTATTAACGTTTAATGAAACTGAAACAAAAATAAAACATAACAAACAAACCATTGAAAGATATGAAAATCTATTCATTAGGCATAGGATTTTCTTTAGTTAGTTATGTAACAGAATCAATTGTATCCGTAAACCATTCAACATCTTTTGATCTAACTAGTCCATCATTCATAACAAAAAGTAATCGAATAGAAATTCTGAATTTTTACAATATCTTTAACATTTGTGAAGTTTTTCGAAGATTCATGTAAATAAACTATTTGTCTTATAGTTGAAAATGACATAACTGCTAAGAATAATTTCATAAAAATATCATCAGAAATGACTCGATCTGCAACACGTTTTGTAAGTTGAATAAAACTTGGAAGAGAAATGATCCCAATATAGCTTCATAATAAGCAGATAATTTCAATAATCCAATTTGTGATTGAATAAAATCTGTTGAACCTGATATTGTATATGGATAGTTCCACCGGAAATCTCCCATCATTACAATGACCCTCTGCGATCAGGCTGAAACTTTCAGCATTTGGACCTCTCATTACCATATTTGCATGGTAAAAGAATCAGCTTTCTAACTCATCGGCATCCTACCTTTTTCGATGTCACACAATTGGATCCTATAATTTTTTCGATTTTGATGGTACAAATTTTCTACCTAAACGCGATCATGAAGACCACCTCTATACATGCTGGCAAAGCACTGTGATTATAGATCGTAGTCATCAGTAAATGATCGGATTGATGTCGCTGTTATGCCCACTAATGGTACCCAAGATTTTGCAAAAAATGAAAAAACAGCAAAAAGAGACCATTTTCATGTATATGAATAGGCATAAAATATCAGCGAGTGGTGGTTCATTCTAGTCAGATTTTATACATACATATGTTGACTCTTAAACGATATAAGAAACATTCCTTTGAAAGTTCCCCATTGTGAAATAGTTTTACGGTGTGATGCCACCAGCATACATCCACCTCCACTCATCTTTTCTTTTGTTCATGTTTGTTTACACGTTCCTCTATTATTCCTACTCATATTCGTTTATACATTCTTGCGTTATCTTTTTATATATGTCGTAGGCCAATGTAAGATTCAGGCCAATCCAGGATTGGCCTAGGCTATTCTCAGATCCTGGTTTGGCCTGATTTAAACTAGGATTAACTTAAAAATTTTGGATCAAAACTCATTTTTTTGCCTGAAGTCAATGGCAGATTACACATCAAATAGTTTNCAATACCAATACCAATACCAATACCAATACCGACCAATACCAATACCACCAATACCAATACCACCAATACCAATACCAACCAATACCAATACCAACCAATACTACCCAGTACCAATACCAATACTCCAATACCGTATTGGTATTGTGACATCCCTAATTAAAATAATAAATTGACGAAAATAAGAATGAATTTGAAAATGAAGAAGAATTTCATTTAAATATGAAATTAAGAAAAAGATTAAGAAAACAAATAAGAGAAGAAAAATAAACCAAAAGAAAAGATTTTGTTTAAATAAAATTGAAGATTTTTGTAAATTAAGATGAAATTCATTTTCAAAATCATTTAAAAATTTTAATGAAGAATTTTCAAATTTATTTATTGTTGGATTTATTTCAAATAAAATTTGTTTTACTCCATTTTCTACACTTCCTAATACATTAGATATTGATGAACCCATTTGCTTCACTTTATCTTATGAACTTTCATGAGAAAACATTGGTGAACTTTTCTTTTTCTCTCTATCGGTCAATGTTTTATCTCATACAAAAGGAAAATTCAACGATTGGCTTCTTTTATTTTAAACATCAATATGAATTTGAATGAAGAAAAATGAGAAGAAATAAAACAGATAAAATCATAAAAATTCGTCGAAAATAAATCTCATTTGATTTCATATCGATATCTGATTTTTCAATTAATAAATCCTAAAAGAAAAATAAAGATTTTGTTTTTTTTTGAGAATAAAAAAGAGAAAAAAAAGCATTAAATTTTACATAATATGTTAGAAATCGTTCAACATTTGATGTAATTTTTTTGTTTTTAATCATATATGTGTGTTCTTTCCCTGACGATGAAATTCAATTGTAAATGAATTTCACTCAAAGAAAAAAATTTTCATTTCTTTTTCTTCGTTTTTTTCAAATGTAAATTTAATGAATAAGAGAAAGAAAACGAAATCTGTTTCATATTGATTATACAATCAATTGACATTTTCACTTTTCATTCTTATGATATTTAACAATTTCAATTGACTTACATAAAAAAGAAGAATAACAATAATAATGATGAAGTCAAATAAATATTACATAGAAAATCTATTGGTATTGGTATTGGTATTGGTATTGGTATTGGTATTGGTATTGGTATTGGTATTGGTATTTGATATTTCCATTGCACTTTAAA